ATTTACCACAAATTAAAGGTATCTTATATTATTAGATATATTATTATAAAACATGCTTTAGTTAAAGAGTTATTGATATTTCAAGTGCAAAATGATGATATAAAACCTTAATAAAAATGCACTTTTAAGTACTAATCAGAAATCGGTCTTTTCTTTGCAATATTCATATTCAACCACTTTCCTTACCCTTAGAGATTGACTCATCATCTTTCTCATAAGATTTATTACTACTAGATTTATATTTTTATGACATACAATATAGACCGATGTTAAGCAAAAAAAAAAGTAGAGAAATAAATGAAAAACTTATAATTTTTTAAAGCATTTTTTAAGAAAGAAACTTTTTTTTAATTAGGTTAGACTTGGCCCAAACATTTTGGGTTAAGGTGAGTCTACCGGCCCATTTACAATGGGTTCTCCACTGTTTACATGCAACGTGAATAGTGGAGAAGAAAACGTAATAGAAGAAGAAGAAAGGGAAAGGGAAGGAGGCTTACCTACGGTGGTTGACGGTGCTTCTAGAGACTATAACGGTGGCAACGACATTGTTAGTGGTGGCTAGGGCACAATGGCACACAATGGCTCTATTGTTTTTGCTATCTCTCTATTTTTTCTCTTTTCTGTTTCTTCTTTTTTTTTTTTTTGATTTATGCCCTCCATTCTGCTTTCTCTCTTCTCTTTTCCTCCCTCATTCTGTTGTCTCTCTTGGGTCGTTTTGGTCTATTTGCCCCCCTGTTTTTATAGCTAAAAATAGGGGAGGGACGTGGTTGGGGCGGCCACTGTGCTGCCGCCCCTCCATCTCCCGTCCAACACGTGTAAAGTCGTTGTTAAGTCGGTGTCTTTTTAAAGGGAAGGCGGTGTCTTTTTGAAAGGGAAGAATGCAGTGATAGAGGAAGAAAATAAACTTCTTCCCCTGCTTCGCACGTCTAGGGGAAGAAGATGATGGTGCTATTCATAAGGACATTGTTTCGAGGTTTTTCCTTTTTTTTGTGAACCATATATAAAACGACGTTGTTTTGGTCAAAACATGTCATTTCATTTAAAAGAAAAAGGTGGCAAAATGTGTTAAATTTCACATTGGTCCTTAATTTTAATTTTGGTTTTAAAAATCAATTCAATTGCACCCCTACCAAAAATCCAATAGTGACCCTAAACTTGACTGCCCTTTTCATTTTGGTCCATGGTCTTGAATCTATGCAATTTGACCTTCAATTGATTAATAAACTTCTAATTTTTTCAATTGGGCCCCTGATCCGATTTTAATTATAGTCCCTCTATTTACGTGCCTTTTTTCATTTTGGTCCTTGGTTTTAGATTTCTTCAATTAAGTCCCTAATTGGCCATAAAACTTCAATAGTTATGCAATATGCCCCTGACTTAACCAAATTAACTTCCAAAAATTATAATTTGGCCTTGAACTTTAATTTCTTCCAATAAAAGCCTAAATTGACTCCAAAATCAATTAAACCTTCAATAAAATTTAATTAAGTCCATAAACATCTGATTTTAGACTTTTCTTTCTTAAATTGAATTTTCTTTGTCAATAGGGCTCTCATCAGTCAATAAAATATTGTCAAATTTTAATATTTGTATTTTTGAACCTCCTTAACCAATTTTTGACTATTTTTAAGGTGCTCTAGAATTTTTTTTCACTATTTATATTTTTTGATAATTTTTTTTTATGTTTTTTGTATTTTATTATTTTTCATGCAAGGGCCCAAAAATGGGTTATGACAGTTGCCCCCTCTTTACAATGCTTACGGAGCAAAGATCTTGCGAAGTAAGTATTGTAAAGATAAACAAAACTAGTCTTCTTAAAATTTGGTTGGCCTAAAACTTCAACCGAACCCAAACTCCTATGTGTGGTTGGGCTAAACTGAGATC